AATTGATTTAATTTAAACAAAATCCCGGGGAATTGCAATGCTGAAACCAACCCTCAGAGAGGTTTCTACAGCTGGTGGTGGTTGCAGTGGCAGTAAAACCCCTGCAGGCCGAATGTGGAGTAGCAAATTCACTTTCACAAATCCCAGCTCCTGCTCCAGATCGGCCGGAGGCCTTCAGCCAGTGCACTTCCAAATGCAACCCTTGCGAATCCTTGCGTCAATTGCCTCGCTTTTAATCCTTGGGGGATTTCCTTTTTTTGCATTTGGGGGTGGTGGCGACGGCGTCTGTCTGGTTTCAAGGTCCAAAAGTCAGCCGACGAGGGCAGTTTTGCGTTTTGTGTTTGTGCCTTGACATCAGCGGCATCGGCATGCAGGTGGTAGCGGGTTAATCGCATAATTGAGCAGCCCAGGACCAGGCGACGCACACTCATCAGTGATTCAGAACCAGAGCCAGGCGAGCGAGTCGTCTGGCTGCAACAAAGGAATAACACACCCTGTTCGAATCTCACAAAGAAATCGCCATGGAACGTGTGAAGCCTGCCGATTATTGTGGATACGGGCGAGGAGCACGGCCCACAATGCAAATATGCACAACTTATAAATACATTGGGATCCGTGGCTCTGTGTGGGAGCAATTCATTTAACCCGAGCCAGGCCAGCTGGCGAAACTGCAAAATGCAACAAAGAGCGAGGCTGGAAAGAAAATTGGCTGAAAGGTTTTCCATCAGCGGCGCTGCTGACTCAGGGATCCCCGTCTTCGGATCCAAGGCAGTATTTCAGCAATAAATTCATAACTAAAGGGAGTTGGGGGAGGCCTGATACGTATACACTTGCGGTCGGTATAATAGCGAAGCTAATTGAAGTTGGACATCCCAGGTTCTTAATTTCACACCCGGAAGATTTCTTCGCATTTAAATAATGTTACTTACATTGTTACTTCGAAGAAGTCTTGCATGGAGAAATGGAAAACTTGCACGAACAAATTAACTCAAACTTAACAAGTTGTTTGTTACATCCTCTTTCTTCAAGAGCCTTTCGGTTTTCTTTAGTATGTTCAAATTTTTTCAGTTTTCTCCTATATTACTTGTCTATTTCTGATTTCTTTTAAAGCTAGACAATAACCAATAATTTTATTATATATTTTTATCTAACATGTGTCGTTAAGTGCCTCCCATTAATCACTTTGGTAAGTGTATATTAATAAACCATATTTACCACGGACTAGTTATATCTGCTCTGCTATTTTTGTGACCGCCCCTGTATAGACAAACAGAGGGCGTAGAGCAAAACCATAATGGTAATCGCCCATGTACAACAACTGCCAGAAGGCAGACTCGACGCAAACAGATCGTTCTGCAAATGGCAAGCTGATGCAGATAGCTATGCAAAACGGGTAATCCAAACGACCGGCCTTATAAGGCGGCCAATGGTCCAAGCCAACTAGAGATACAGACGCGTTATTACTTAACAACAATTACCGAAAGTGAGCTCGAGTGTCTGGCTTTTTTGTGCCCAATTATAGTGGAAATGTTGCCGAAATTGTCACTCAATGACTCGACTTCCTTGGCGCAGATAGAAGATACAAAGAGAAACTGTCTGTTCAGTGGAGCGTTTAGCATTAGCCCCGCAGACAGCCTTGAGATCCGCTTGTACGGCAATGGGGTTTATGTACTGGAACTACACCCAAATAAGGACACCTCAGTGACGTAAACATGAACTTACCTGCAAAGAAAGAAGAGCAAATAAAAACTCTGCTAGTTAGGGCATAAGTTCTTGTTTTTGTGGCCCACCCCATTAATCATCTATCAATTGGTTTGCCTTTTGGGCATGACTCACGGCTGAAAAATGAAGATCTTCCCGTTAACAGGAAACGTGACTCGCTAGGGCTTCCCTAATTTACACAAAAAACCATTTATCTGCTCGGCCCACCCTGACCAACATCAAGAGTCAAATGCATTTGGAAAGCGGTAAGGGAGCTGGAACTGTGGCAGATACCGAGGACGGAGGACGGACGACATGACAGATATGTCCTACTATGGCCTCTGTCGGGGTTGCTTATCGTGGGTTGCATGCGTCAGTGACAGACTAAACTCTAAAACTCCTCCTCTGGCACTACACTTTAAAAATGTATTCTCCAAACTTTTTGACTACTATATAACTAGATATTTGGAGAGCAGAATAAGAATAAGAATAAGCTACGACATTATATAGGCTTTAACAATTGTATTTACAGCCTTAAGTATAATTTATGGGTATTTCTGTCAGTTTAGCATTCTAGTTTTAATATTCTCAGACCATCTACTTCGCTCAGTGTACATCTAGCACTATTCCTATGTCGGATTAATGTGGGCCCGTCTGTCTGCATTTTGGGTGCGGCTAGGCTGGATGGCTGGATGGCTGCATTCTCCGGCTGTTCGGCTTTCTCTGGCGGTTCTGCCGGGAATTAGACCCATTGACTCATTCTAGGGCTGCGCCCAATCCCAAACCCACAACTACTGGCCAAACTAGTCGCGGCTAGGCAATCAAAATCGACATTTAGTTTTATGGCGAGTCAAACAACAACAGCGGCAGCCGGCGAACATGCAATGTGTCCCGAGTTCAATGCACTTGCCACTCAGCCTCAAACTCCGCTGCAATGGCTCTTGGCCAGATACACAGGCATACTAACAGATCGCGTGACTATAGTTAAATATAGTTAAGCACCGCGTATGGCACGTGACGATATTGGGGCAGAAAGTATCCCCCATATTGTGTGATATTGTGGACGGACATGGGATATACCAGGAAAACTACAATTTGGGAAACCGGTGGGCAGGAGTGTGCCCTTAATCACTGGCCACCACTGTGGTAGGGAGCAAAGAAGAAACGAGAACGCCATCGATTTCAATTGCAATTACTCATCTAACGCGGCAATTACTCGTATTATGATGATAAGTGCGAACCAAAACAGCTGCTGGCAGATTTCAGAGTGACTCAAGGAGGCGATTTAGAGCACTGTTCGCATTCTTCGTGATATCTAACTCGTGGAATCCGGAAATCTAGCAAAGGTCAAGAACGAGAAAACTAATGTCCATAAATAGCTAAGAAATAAGTCATCACCAAGGAGCCAATTTAAAGTTAGTTTAATGTTTTTATTAATGAAAACTAAACATTGACCAAATTTAAGACAGAGGAAACTTGTGAAAAAACTATGGGAAAATGTTCCATAAATTCATGACTGATTCTTAAATGAAATTGGTAAAATATTGTGTATATGATGTACTCATACCCTTAAAAATTAAATGAGCTTAAAAAACAATTTAAAGTTTGTATATATTAGTTGATTACTTAAATGTTTTGTTTCCAATTTTTGTAGTGCTTATTATTGGTAACTTAATATAATTGTAACTTAATATAGTGCCTGGTACATCTTCGAGAGAAGAACCTAAACGAAATTAATGCATTTCTTAGGAAGGGAGATGGTCGGGTAGGATTCATAAGAAGAAACAATATAAAAAAGTATTTACAGGATATTTCCTTCAAAATATTTTTAATTGAGGAAAAGCATAATATATCCAATGACCTATTTTAAGGTTTCATTTTTTATAGTCCACATTTTCAACTATGAACCGTACAGTTTTCCATCTGTTTTCGCCTACTTCAGCTATATTATTAGCTGGCAGCTCTATAATGGAGTGATGACCAATTTGAAAACTGGCACAGAGAACGAAAACACAAAAACAAGCGCCACCTCGATTGCAGTCATAAAAGCGATAGAGAGATAGAGGGTGCGGGGTTGGTTAGGGTTCAAGATGTCCATCGGCTGATATGTTATTGGGGGCGGGGGAGGGAAACTAGCACACTTGCTGACATTGCAGTGTGCACTTAACTAGAACCACCACTGTGCAGTCCACACACAGACATAAAGCCATATGCATGTACTAACTACTCAAAATGGTCAATTTTCCCAGTTGCAGCTGAATTGAAGTCCTATTGTCAGCGGGGGTTACCTACTACAAATATCATATATCGGTTGTCAAGGGCGTTTTCTGACGAATCCATAACAAAGTGGAAATGGAGTTTCCCAAATCAAATAGGAATAATCTCCGCCGATCCAAATGAACAGTTAACAGTTAACCCATTAAAAGATCAATACACGTCTAGTGCGAAATGTGAGACGAAAGCGAATAAGGAGAAGGAATTCGGAACGGAAATGGGGAATAGAATTAATGAAGGAAGCACACAAAAAGCAACGGAACGATAAAAATAAGGAAGCAGCGGAGAACGGCACTCAATGTTGTTTTTGCAAATCTGCAAATCCTACCAATACCACTAGCAATGGCCCCCCACACACACACACACGTTTAGATTATTTCAAAAATGCCGGCAACTGTTTGAATTTCCTTTAGAGTTACTTACTTGGTGCTTGCCTGATTATCGGTACAATCAAAGTTGGAGATCATCTTGCTGTTTTATACGTGAATTGACGCTTAGTAACAATTAAATGGAAACTGGCACACACGCAACAAAGTGAAACACACAAAATGCAAGTGAAAATGCACACAGAGAGAGCAGATACCGCGGCACGTTCGTACAGTTCGAAAGCAGAAATTAGTGTGGCTGTCATGGAGCCGCTTTTGGGTTAAGCCGGCTCATATGATATTATCTAAAAAATACCACAACTGTGGAACAAAATAGAAAGACCATATTTGAAAATCGGCAAATCGATTTATATCGACTTTTATCCGATATTGTCAAAAGCTTGATCTACTTGACTTTCTACACAAGTGCTTTCCCTGTATTCCGCCGTTGTCGCTTTAGTCTTTCTTATTTTAAACGTTGGAGGTTTTGTGTTAAATTAAGGTTAAAAATGTTGACATCGTTTTTGTAACAGCTCTGTTAAAAATGATGAGAGGTTTAAAATTTCTGAGAGAGAACGGCTGTACTATAATCATATGGTCAAAATATCCAGTATTTTAAACGGTATTTTATTGCCACCACAACAGGTATATTTTGACACATCAATTGCGGTTACACAGCGTAGGTCCCAGTTATTGTTTACAACAGATTAAATTAAGGAATCGTAAATATTCAACCTCTTTTTGCCAACTGCTAGACAGGATGAGTGTGCCGGCGGTGCTGATGAAGTGCCGGATCTGCTTAGCCGATTCCGAAGAGGGGACAATGAGTTCTCTGTTTAAGGATGCGGCTGAAGGTGAAGCCCCCCTAAACGAGAAATTGGAGTTCTGTTGCGGTATAAAGGTAGGCGGAATTTGACAGAAGAGTTATACATATATCACATTATACTACTCAAATAATCTTAGGTTCGGGAATCCCTCAATATGCCAGGAAAGACCTGTAGCAGCTGCAATGAGTTCGTGCAAATGTGGTTCAACTTTCGCCAGATGTGTCTAAATTCTCAGGTTTACTGGGAAACCAGTTGTCCAGAGTCGGAGAGACCTGAGGAAATGGCGGAGGCCAGCGATGGCGACTATATGGAGTATATATATGCAAAACTACAGCTCAACCTGGGCCAAGAAAACAGCTACCCGGAGGAGATTAACAAATCAGAGGAGGAGGACGAGGAGCTGAATGATCAATTACAGGATGAACTTGATGTCAACGGGTTTATCATAAATGACCCAATTGTAGAGGAAGATCAGCCTATTAAGGAAAGTCCTGAGCATATGCTGATATCCCATCTGGACTCATATGACCCAGAAATGGAAGAGATTATCCAAGACAAGGAGACCGTCGAAGATTTATCATTTCTAAGCGACGAGTACTATGAGATCGACTATAAGGAGGAGGATTTACACGAAGACCACTACGTGTCTCGCAGCCCTTCGCCGAACCCAAGCTCCAAACAAAATAAGCGGAAGCCAGGAAGACCTCGCAAGTCAGATAGCGAACTTAAGTTCAAACGCAAGGATAACAACACCAAGGAAAAGGCATCAAAGTCTAAAAGCAAGGACGATGACAAGTTTATGTGCACTTTGTGTGGAAACGTTTATTACAAGAAATCCGTTTTCACCACCCACATGTTGACCCATGCGGAATATAAGCCGCACCAGTGCGAGTAAGTAAATTGGGTTATCTAAGGAGTGAAAAAATAAGTTTTCGACTTTTTAACATTCTTTTAAATTGATTTGCAGAATTTGCCACAAATCCTTTCGACAAATGGGCGAACTGCGAGCTCACATCCGTCGTCATACAGGTGAGCGACCCTATAAGTGTATGTACTGCGAGCGGCACTTCTACGATCGAAGCGAACGGGTTCGCCACGAGCGAGTTCACACCAATACGCGTCCTTATGCCTGCCAGGAGTGCGGCAAGACCTTTACGCACACAGCTACACTTAAGAATCACATGCTGGCGCATTCCGGCGAAAAGAATTACAAGTACAACAAACTTTCCTTCCAAAATGCTTCCCATTCTAACGATCTTTGTTTTTCAGTTGTGACATATGCTCAAAATCATTTACCCTGCTACACCAGCTGAAAGCCCACCTGCAGACGTTCACCCACCGTAATAAATTAGAGCAAGCCATTCCCACATCTGCAGACTTCATTCAAAGCTAATGTAATATTTAATTTAAGTTAGTTACAAGTACTTCGCTAGTTAATGAGACAAAGAAAATCCAAGTTTGTTATAAATTATCACTTGTCTTTATTAGCTATTCCATGAGTTCGCTGTACTCTTTAGCTAGCGACACACCCAAGAGGTGAGCATCCGTTTTCTCGTGCGCCGTAAGCTGGTGTTTCAGACGGAAAGCCTTATTGCAGGTTACGCACTTGTGTGGCTTTTCAGACGAATGCAGAAGGTAGTGGGCCTTACGAGAGGTGGACAGGGAAAAGGTTTTACCACAAATTTTGCAAGCGTATGGTTTTTCATTCGTGTGCATACTGGAATAGCAGAATCACAGTAAACAAAATTAGCAAATTATACGACATAACCGGATTTCGGGTTTCCATTTGATTATAATTAACCAAATTAAAATTATTCAAATCCTATGATTATTGTTAAAGCTTAAAAGAAGGAATATCTTTATACCGTTCGTGCTTGCGATGAGTGCTGGAATCGGCAAATCGCCTAACGCAGTAGGAACAATGATACGGTTTTTCGCCCGTGTGGATCCGCATATGTGTTTTAAGGTTGCAGGCGGCTTTAAATGACTTTTGACAAACCCTAAAACAAAAAACTTGTTGGTTAATCCTTTTAATATTGGACTATACAGGGAAATACTTACTCGCACTCGTGAATCTTTTCTGTTCGATGCACCTTCATATGTACAGTTAGTTGACACATGCGAGGATATGTGTTGCTACAGATACGGCATATAAACTTGTCCGGCACGCAAGCCACACCCAGATCTACCTCGTACTCGATGGCCGAATCAGACTTTTGGGATTCCTCACTAGTATATTGAATACTGTCTATAGTTACAGTGTCATCCTGGGATAAGATTTCCAAATCATTGTGATCGATAGACTCTTTTTTCAAAGAGCTGATGGAGTAGTCTTCATTAATAGTGATGATTTCGTTTTTAGCATTAACATCCAAATCAAAATCGTTTGACTCCTCTTCTGTTGCTTTGTCTTTCGATTTCGGTGATTCTACTTGGCCCTCGTCAGTCTTAAAAATTGAAGATTTCTCTTCGTTGAGTCTCGCTGAAATGTTTTGCTTCCTGGCACGCTTCCTCGGTCCAGATGGTTGATCCTTTATTTCCAGGGTATGCAAAGCAACTGCTGAGGACATTGTCTGGCGGACGAGATCCCTCAAGTAATCGTCAGATTGTTTGCACTCACTGAGGAATCGATCTACATCCTCTAGCCTCTCAACACAGTCTGAGCAAATCTGATCCGGCAATCCATCGTGCGGTTCCACCTGTAAGGAAATATTATTAATTGTTTAAAAACCAAATATAAACGAACTCACAACTACTCCAGCATATAGGACCAATAGGTTCTGGGCCCCGGATTCAAAAAGCGGCTGGAACGCGGATCCGGCTTCGGTTTCTTTTTGGCGACAAGTGCGGCACATTTTCCACTTTATGCTGATTTCCATTGTTAGTATTGCATTTGCGTTAAAAACCAATTCAAAACACAGAACAATGCACTTAGAATATATAACAGGGTTGTCAGCTTCGCAATAATAGTATCGATATCGGCATCAGTAAAGACTATCGGAAAAACTATTTTTTTGTACTTTTATTTTATTGTGTTATTTTTTGTAAAATATATTCAATTGTTATTTATACTCAGTTATAAATGTTTTTATTCATTGAACATTTATATTGTTAATAAAGCATTGCACAAATTTATTTAAATGTCACCCATCAATATTTCGATAAAAATGTCGATAGCCATATGTAAAAAGACAAGACGCTTGTTTATTTCTGATTTGCAAACATACGGACGGCCAGGACGAACGAAATCATGCCCGAGTATATGTTGTGTAGGATCTGTTTAACAGAAGACATTAACCCTGATGCGATGGCGCCGCTGTTCGATGAAGACGACGCCCAGTGTCGGGAGCTGGTGCGAAAGATTGAGGAAGTGGGCAGCATTAAGGTACATGTGATGCACCTGTGACCCAAACACCGCGGCTAATCCCGCTTTAATTTTCCAGTTAGTGCCGCTGCAGAACATTCCTAGCATGCTGTGCTACAGCTGCGTGGAACGGCTGACTAGTGCTCACAAGTTTCGGGAGCTTTGCCAGGAGAGCGAGCGGACATTTGCCACCAATGTTGTCAAGGTATGTGAGGCAATTTATAGCAACCAAATTAAACTAATTGTGAGTTTTTTCCCTTGTCCCCGTAAAATGCCAGGCCGAGATGAAGTCCGAACCAACGGACGAGGTGCCACACATAGTGTCGGACCACATCGAGTACATCTATGAGTCGGGTAACGATTTCATCGATGGCGTGGAAGAGGACATCGAAATGGAGAATATGATGGAAGAGCGTCTGGAGGATGGTGTTGCGGAAACGACCCAAGCCTACGAGATCAACACAGTGGAAGACGAATTGGACGAGAACGACCTGTTGGTGCCGAATAGCACCGATAGCGACTACCAGCCTAGCGAACGCTGCCGAAAGCCCAAGGTACGGAAAACGAGGATGAGTAAACGTGGACGGGGTCGACCTCGTGGCTCTGGCTCTGGACGTCCACGCAGTCTCAGCCAGGATCGACCGTCTGTTCAATCGAATTGCAAGTCTTCACCCGAAGAGTCCTCGACAAACATCATGTGTGAGATTTGTGGCAATATTTACGCTAAGCGGGCGGCTCTTAATATTCATATGCGCCGTCACATGGCCGATAAACCATTTGAATGCGAGTGAGTATAAAAATCTTTATATAAATGCATAGTAATAACTAAGAAATTGGTAATCCAATACAGAATTTGCGGTAAAACCTTTGCGGGTCCATCTGAGCTCAATCGCCATATCCGAGTACATACGGGAGAAAAGCCATTTACGTGTAAATATTGCAATCGCTCCTTTGCGGATCGCAGTTCTAACATTCGTCATGAAAGGTAAGTATCTCCTCCTAGTCTAGACTACAATAATAACTTAAACTGTTTACCTTGCAGAACCCACACGAACGAACGACCCTTCAGTTGTTCCACCTGCGGCAAGGCATTCTCATACTCCAATGTGCTAAAAAACCACATGCTTACCCACACAGGCGAAAAACCCTTCCTGTAGGTTACACCCCGTCTTGAGATAGTTTGCATATTCTATAGATTTTATTGCATTTTCAGTTGTCGACCGTGCAATAAGACCTTCTCCCGCAAGCACCAGCTTGATCAGCATATCGGCACGATGACCCACCAACAGACCGTTAGGAACCATCAGAACAATGAATCGACGCGGCACTCAGAGATCTACTAGTCCCAAATGTGGCAATTTAAATTTTCATAGATAATTGTATATTTAAATATAAATAGATATTGTATAATAAATAGAGTACAAATGATCCGAGCCGGATGTGTAAAAAATGTTCAACTCAAAGTTTTATCAGTTTTATTCGAATATTATTGGTAAACAGTAAAACAGAAAAAAACTTCGTTTTAAGGTGGTTAAGGTATTTAATAGGTTATAGTTCACATTTTGTTGTTTAAAGTACACACTTAATCGGGTAAGCTAAAATATTTATTTGTGCGTTTTAAAAAGCAGCAATAAATAGTGATGCGTATATATTTGTTGTATTAAAAGCTGAGTTTGGTTGTATGCTTTTTATAAGATTAATTATTATTTAGTGAGTATTGATAATGGCACTAGATTAAGTATTTAAGTACCCTGTATTTTTTATGTTAGTTTTGTTCTATTTATACTCAATTGTGACAATTTGTATAAGGCTGGATGTCTTCAGTTCTTTTTGGTTTCGTTGCTCGTTTTCTTTTGGAAGCTAGAAATTGATACAAAATTAATTATTTTCAATATCAATAAATGTTTTGAACATAGGAATGACTCTGCATTTGATATGTTATCAAAGTTGACGTTCTTTGCTTTCTCAACAAATGACTCGCTTCTGGCTATTGGTGGAAGGCTGGATGGATTTAGTTCATTTGGTTTGATTGCTCATTTTGTTTTAGAAGCTAGAAGTTGACTGTTTCTAACATCAATAGATGCGATATACAAATAGCTTATAAATGGAATTGGATTAAGTATACACTTGTTGGTTAATATCAATGTAATGTTATGTTTTAGAACTTATATTATATTATTATTGGCTGAAAAGCTACCTGAGCTGTCGTTTCCCGCTCTGCGTTCTTTTTATGAATACTGGTAGACAAGTGAATTTTCAAATGCGAGATCCGCTGAAAATGTTTCTTACAAACATTGCAACTAAAAAATGAAAGGAAATACATTTTGAAAAAAGCTTAGAGTTGGCCAAAGTCAAAATGCCCACTAGTGCTTCCGTTCGATGTTATGGACCGTCTTGTGCTTGCTGAGACATCCCGAACTTACAAAGGTCTTCTCGCAAATCTCGCATTGGAAACGTCGATCGTTCTGGTGGCGTCTTTGGTGCTCCTGACGAGAACTTGCATCGGAGAACTTACGTGGGCAGTAGATACAACCGTAAGGCTTCTCGCCAGTGTGGCAACGGTTATGGCGCGTTAGTTCCTTTTGTGTCACAAAACTTTTTCCGCATTCCCTAAACAATAAAGGATGGTACATTAAGAGCATTAGTTCTTGTTAAAAGACTTTAAAAACTCAATACCCAAAACCGCAGTGAAAATTCTTGATGCCCGCGTGCCGGATCATGTGCTCCCGAAAGTTTGTCTTGATGTTAATGGACTTTCCACACTCTTTGCAGACAAATGGGCCAATATTTCCAATTGGTTTTGGACTCTTTGAACTTGTGGGTGTGGGGACCTCTTCGGGAGTCCTTGGAAGACCGTTGACGTCAGGTGTCAAAAAAGACTCCTCTAATTCAAGCTCAATTTGTCCATCATCAATATCGTCATGCCCAACTGGTACTTTTATGCAATCCTTGTTGGGGGACTCAATCCTCTCCAGATTTTGTTTCTCAGAAATGATGCAGCGCTGGCGGAATTTAATGGCTACCTCTAAATCGCCTAAGCAAACCTTACACATTTGGTTTGAAATTTCTTTCTTGCTACTTAGCTGCAAAATATGAATTAAAAAGTAAGATCCATGATAAGACTATTTTTGGGCCTTACCTCGACTCCGGTAATGGAAAGAATTTGACGAATCAGATGTCGATTTTCTGGGTCAAAAAGGTTAACTGGAGCGTCAATTCCAGAGCAAATGCGGCAACTTAATATTCGCATCTTCGCTTTTTGATATTTTAAAAACAAATATTTATTGTTTACTTCTTTAAGTCGTGTGTAAAAGCGGTACAAGTGCGGCGGTCACTCTAAATTCGGAAACATACCAACGGTACAAAGCTTTTGCAGAAGAGGCTAACATTTTATTTATACCACTATATTAAAACATATAAAATGGATCATTTTAAATTCTTTTTATCATAAAAGGCATAAAGTTACCTAAAGTTATACTGCAGGTTGAAACCCCCGCAACACAGCTATGTTCATTCCACAGTTATCGAAACCGCCGATAACAAACAATCAGCTGTTGCTGATTCCTTTACATATGTTGCTGATGCGCTTGCAAAACAATAAATTGTTTATAGGTTGTTTGAATTTTAATCAGACCTAAATTTGGTTCATTCTTATTTGGCATTATGACGCTTCAGTGCCGGACCTGTGCAAGCGTCATCTATAATACAAAAGCCAGGAATCTCTTTCACATCGAGAACGCAAAGATGCTGCTAAACATAAGTCTTATTACTGGTGCCATGGTAATATGGTGTTAACATTTTTTTTATATATTGTTTAATATATTTTGTAATTTCAGCTCCGAAATGATCCAAAGCTACCTAGTTGCATATGTGCGTGTTGTATGCTCGACTTGAACCAGGCGATTGTGTTCAGAGAACGGTGCATCCAAACACAGCAGAATCTCGTACAGCAACGGATGACCTCGGAAAATGAAGGTCAAGATCTCGGCACAGACTGTGAGGACGAAGAGGATGTTGGAGTTAAAGAAGACGCTGAGGTGGTCCAGATGGCCTTACCTGATGAGTTGGAGGATTCGTTCCAGGAAGAAGATGAATACTTTGAAGAATATCCAGATATCGAAGGAGAGGAGGGGATGAGTCATGTTGAAGTAGGTGAGGAGGTGGCTCAAGATGCTGACTCTCTCATATCAAGTCTCCAGAAAGAATTTGAAAGCATTTACAGCGACGAAAGTACCACGGACAACAATATATTTGTTGAGAACCAAAAAAATATCTACTACAATGAGCTTGAGGATGAGAGTTGCGGATCCTCACCAGGATCGCCGCAGCCCGCATTGAAGCAAAAACGAAGACAGCCGAGAGAAAATAGTGTCATATCGGAGACAACACACACAAAACCCAAGAGAAAGAAACAGTACGTTACTTGGAAAAACATGACTGAGGAGCAAATGGTGGAACGAAAGCGACAGCAGCGGAAACGCGACTGTGTTTGCGAACAGTGCGGCCGGCATTTCACCGATCCAAGCAATTTCAAACTGCACATGTTGCGACACACGGGCATGAAGAATTTTGCCTGCCCGGAGTGCGGAAAGCGGTTTTACACCGACCATCTCATGTCCCTGCATCAGCGGATTGTTCACCGAGGAGAAAAACCTTACTCCTGTCGGTACTGCTCCAAGTCCTTCCACAACAGCACCACCCGAGTCATCCATGAAAGGTAGGCTTTAGCGTTTAGCAAATGAATAAATTAATATTTTTTTGTTATAATGCTATAACAACGAATTTTTTTAGGGTGCATACCAATGCCAAACCATACACCTGTCACCATTGCGAGAAAAGCTTCAGCTCAACTTCTGGTCGAAAGCGGCACGAACTTATTCACACAGGTTTAAGGGCCTTTTCGTGCGTATTCTTTAGTTGGCTTGACGAAGAGAAATTTAATAAACTTTTATTTTCAGTTGCACAATATGCGAACAAACATTTCAACGCAACACCCATCTCAAGGCCCATCTGAGATCAAGGTTTCACATTGTGAAAGCGAGAAATAATGGCGTACAACCGACATTAGAATGAATGCACTACAAAAATGTGTAATAAATATTAGTTCTTAAAAATATATACAAAATATTTTTTATTTTTGCAATTGTCTTACTTTGAATAGCGATAAGTGGCATTCCTTACCGCTAGAAATACGATATATTTGTCCTTGCAGCCCTGCCGATATGTTTTCAGTGTGGAAACACTGACAAGCCTCATTTTAAGCCTCATATTACTGCTCGGAAACATTTTAATTTTTTTTTTTTTTTTGAAACCATTAAAGGAATTCTGAATTTAAATTTAAGTGGAAATCAAATTTTTGTAGTTCATTTTAAATGTAATACTTTTTAAACTCTCAGGTATTTTTTACCATAGACCAGACACACTTTGGTATATTTTGGCGCTTTAAAAACGGTCACATACAGATATTGCATTTCTATTAAGACTTAATTTAACTAATCGGAGTTGCTCTCAGCAAAAATAAGGAATTTGCAGAAGACGCTAGAACGACGTTTGATTAGCCCCCTACAATTGTTTCCGGTTTCTGTTTGTTAACCCTAAGCATCATGGAGCGCCGTCGCTTTAACATGAGCAGCATGTCGCCCATGGCAGATTCCACGCGGATCGACGCGTCGTTGATGTGAGGAACCACCTGTCTGGTTGAATTTTAATCGATTGCTAATCAAATGTGCACTCTTTTTTTCAGAGGCCAACGACCGTCTGTTACCAATTTCCTGCGGGGACTGAGTCCCAAAGGGAGAAACACCACACTTAATAGCACCCGCACCCCGGAAAGGTCCCTGATGAACCAGACGGCCACATCCCCCAGCAGCATATCCCGACAAAAACTGAACCTCAGCCAGTTGGATCCTAGGTAAGACAAAGTAGTCTATGCACGCAAGTATATGCGTCCTTGAAGTTCAATTACACCATGTGGCGAAAATAAAGATTTTAAATTGGCGTTTTATTATGATTATATACTCGTATAAATTCAGTTCTCCTAGGGTCCCCATTATAAGAATTTATAAGACAAATTTCCTAATTTTACAGAACCTTTGCCGATGTACACAGCAGTGGACTGGCCTCCCGCATTGTGGCCTACCACGAGAGCAGCCTTGGAGGACGCAGTGGTCTGCAGCGCAGCATGTCCGCCAGCAATCTATACAACCCATTGACGCAGACGCGCAGGGCGCTAGCCTCCCCTCTTCCCTATAAATCGAAGGCGCCAACACTTTCGATGACCCAGATTGCACCACCAGAACGCAGCTTCTATTCTGGCAACACACTACCCAGCCTTCTGCGCTCCAACTCTCTGGCGGGGGTGGTGCACAAGACTACCGAGCAGGAACAGCTGTCGCGGGAGAATCGACCTATCCTACATCCGCCGCATCCGCAACATGAGAGCGAACCAACTAGAAGCGTTTTGGAGGAGCTCAAAGAGATCTCTCGGAAGCGCATCAACACTGGTGTAAGTTTAAGCCCGCCACTATCCTGTCAATGGGACAGCTTCTTAGGCTTCGCTTGTTTTCAGGATGCGCAGTCACCTCATGACTTCACGAAAAGGAGTTGTCAGCGTGGTGTGGACTTTGTTGATCATCACCGTCATCAACAGCATCTAAACCAGTTCCAACAGCAGCAAAATCAGTCATTTAAAAGACAACGAGAACTGACCGTATCGGTTCCACTCAGGCATCATTCTACATCTCTATCCGGGACTCCTCCTGCAATGCACATTCACACCAATGGCAGCATCTCCCCGACACAGTCGCCGGAGCAGGTGGCCAAACGGCCAAACTGCAGCTATAACAACGACATTGCCTCCTCTCTGAGCTCCAGTCGGCGTCACAGCAACAAACGAAAGCTTTTTGACATGCAGGAGAGCTTCCAGCGTAGCAAAAACGAAACACTAGCCAGTGGAAGCTCACCGGATAACTCTCCCGCTGAAAATGTGGCCAAAATACAACGTAAAGTAGATGCAGAATCTGTCAGTAGGACGATAAGCATGCCCATTCAATCTAAGCCGGCAGTTCCAGCATCCCGGACCATTTCAGCACCTCATTTGCAAAGCATAGACCACCGATCCATTGAGATTCCACCTGCAGTGGAAAAGCCAAAACTCACTCTCTTTAATGCACGACAATCCCGTACTGAGGAAGAGCAGCCGCGGCAAGATCTCAGCAGTCCAGATGTGGATGCTGGAGAATATGCCGGAATTCAGTTCGTAAAGCCAAAGCAGCAAAATTCCACTCTGGGCGTTAAGAACCCCAGCGTGGAACGCACGCACAAGACCAAACTTGCTATAATGCTGAGTGGATTAAAGGGCGAACTTTATCAAGGCGAACCAGACGAACTAGATGCTTCAGCACCGGCGCCTGCTCCAGAGATTCTTCCTTCTCCAATTAAACCAACAATAACGCCGATTATAACCACAACCACAACGACCGCGACAACTACCACCCCGACCATTTCAACTGCAGCTCCTATAAAGCCGGTAATACTAAATAACCAAGTGATTAAGCCTCCAGAAGTATCCACCACAAATACACAAAACCTAGGGTCTAAACATGTGTTTGGCAAGGATTCGACACCCGCTACCACGGAAGTAGTAGCAGCAAAAACCGCTGACAAAGTTATCGCAACACCATGTGAAAGCCCTGCTAAGTTCGATTTACCAGCCAAATCCGTAACACCTACCACAACCACCGTAACATCTCAACCATTGATCACTTTCGGCACACCGAAATCTACATCAGCCTCAACTCTGTCATTTGGAAATGTGACCACTACCACTAGCACTGCTACTAAGACTAGCACTAGTGTCACCACACCACAACCCATATTTTCGTTTGGACAACCGCCTGCCAATGGATCTACAGTAGGCGTTGCCTCGGGATTTAAACTGGTCAATACGACAACGACTGTAGCAGCGTGCACTAGCTCAGAAACGTCGGCCACATCAACACCAACGTTCGGAATGGCTACGCCAAAAACGGCTACTGTCACTCCTTCACCAAGTCCAGCGATTAGTTTCGGCACGCCGAATCCCGCACCTGTTAGCACTGCCACCAGCAAAAACCTTGCCACAGCAACAGTATCGCCATTTGGAGCAGCACCCTCAGCGGCCCCAGTATTTTCTTTTGGACAGTCGAGCAATGCAACTCCGGCTAACAGCGGAAATGAAGCAGGTACTGCCAATCCGACAGTATTTAGTTTTGGCGGCAGCACTGCTAAACCAGCTGAAGCAGCAAAAATACCGCCGCCTGGAAGTCAATCCCAACTCGCTGGCAACTCTTTTGGTGGCATATTCGGCCAACCCATGGCCACTAAGCCAGAGTCAACTAAGCCGGGCATCTTTGGAAATCCAAACAGCTTTGGAGGCGAATTGAAGAAAACAGCAGATGTGGCAACAACAACAGCAGCCGAACTGCCTAAACCATTCGGATTCTCAGCGACTACAACCACCGCCAGTGGAACGCCAGCAACCACGAATATCTTTACCTTTGGAGGTGCAAACCCTTCAAAGACTGCGGCACCAGCTCCAACAAGCCAAAGCAACGTTTTTGGTCAGAATGCTACAGCATCGACGCCCTTTGCCTTCGGAGGAGCATCAGCTCCTGTAGGAAACACGGGAAATAAAGATAACAAATCGGTTTTTGCTTTTGGAGGCGGAGACAATTCGACAGCCAAGCCCAGTGCTGTATTTAGCTTTGGTGGCACGGACAAGAGTGTCCCACCTGCCTTTGGCAGCGTAGCAACATCGATACCATCTGGAACATCTGCAACAACAACACCTTCGAATAATGGCTTTGGATTTAGTACACCACAGAAGTCAGCAACATCCATGTTTGGCCAAGCACCAGCTCAACAGATTTCGGCACCTGCTGTTGCAGCCACCAAACCATTTACATTTGGTGGCGGTAACCAACAGGCCCCTACACCTTCAGCTTCACCAGCTCCAGGAGGTTTCTCGTTTGCCGCAGTAGCAGCTAAAAATTCAGCGGAGCCCACAGGAACAAATGTATTTGTCACTCCCGCTAACGCCAGTAAGCCAGCGTTTAGCTTTGGAGGAAATACCGGTAACCAGGCAGGAGCAGTTTCACCCGCTGGTGGGTTCTCTTTCGCCTCAGCCACCAAAAAGGAAGAGCCTGCGACCACGAATATGTTTGGAAGCCCCAACACTGGAGTAGTTAAACCCAATTTTAGTTTTTCAAGCAACGTTCCAGCCGCACAATCAGTAACTTCTGCTCCGACACCAGGCTTTGGAGGATTTGGATCTCCGTCTTCATCATCAGCTGCGACAACTAATCCGAATAAACCCTTTGCATTTGGAGGAAGCACCGCCGCTCCCGCTCCCAGCCCCGCGCCCCTGGGAGGCAACCTGTTCGCCAATGCTGTATCTGCTAGCCAAAATCAACCGAAGCCCGCAGTATTTCCATTTGGAGGGGCTAAGAGCACTGCTAGCGCTACAGTCGGAAACGCACCATTTTCGTTTGGAGGAGCAACTGCCGGCGGTATCGCTTCGCCGCCTAGCAATCCGAGTATGAATACATCAAAACCATTTAACTTTGGTGGAGCTGGCGGAAATCCAGCACCCAATATCTTTGCAAGCCCAGCACCCGCCCCGACAGCTGGCAATCCGTCCGCAGCCTTTAACTTCGGCGGCGCCAGTCCAGCCCAGCAGACGAACGCCGGAAACATGTTTGCCCCACCACCGGACAGTCGACCCATACGTAAAGCCACTCGACGGCTACAGAAATAGGTCCGCTTTCCGATTTAATGTATAGATCATTATTGTAATGCTAGATGAATTGTTTCTGGGTATCCGGATTGTAATATAAGGTGGGATAATCGAAATACATTTGATTGGAAATTAGAATTAAAAAATTATAATTTAATAAAATTTTAAGGAATTCAAAAAAATAATTATGTTATTGAAATCAACATTAAACCTGTTAAAAAATATTTGTCATTCTTTGAACAAATTGTCCTCTGTTCGTTGGTATCAATCGCTAATTGCTTAATTCGTATAAAAAAGAAACGCAAAATCCATTTCATGCTTGTATTCTTTACTTTTATTAAAAGTTTTAGAACTCTCTGCCTTCATTTTTAATCACCTCGCTTAAGTTTTGTGTAATTGGTGCAAGTTTGTGTTGGATTCTTTAGGGGGTTCGCTAACGCATAGAACTTTCTGTTACATTATTGATTGATGTGTGTTTTAAAAAAATAATAACTTTAAAATTAATTAAATGTAAGTCATGTGGGGACGAGTGTATTTGTGTGAGGGGATGTGTGTGTTGGTGTATTAGGTGTGTTTTACATAAAATATACTAAAATTAAGTGTTAAAGCAAAGTGGCTGCCGCTTGACCGGAAATTAAAAGGCATAAATGTACAAGTTTCTTAGGTGAACACTAAAATAAGCATTAGGTATTAAGTAAATTACGGGGTATTTTAAAAAATAAATTACAATTTTCCTTTGCCTTTCCGCTGCTGCATCGGTTCGATTAGAGTACAGAGTACAGGGTACAGAGAAGGAGATTCCTTGTTAAGAAGAATGGACCGAATAATGAACAAATCCACGAACTTTGCGTGTAATAATTTATATTTGTATAATATTATTAATCGATTCATATGCTAAATACGTAGTTAATGTTTATTGTATTGTATGTAGAAGTTTTAATGTAATGCATATTTTCACAAGTGTTTTTTTCTCTTTACTTTTTTTATATCTTTGAGTTTAAGGACACGCGGCCGCAGCCGCCTTCGTTCATTTTTTTTGCTTATGTTTCGCTTGCTCATTTTCTTTTTATATTTTTAATACAAATAAATGTAACTAAATTTAACTAATTCTCAGCGTGATTGTTCCAACAACTTGTTGGACAAGTTCTTTGTGGTCATCCCTCAGTTTTGTGCTACAAACAGAAATGGTTAACAGAAAGAGTACGGAACTCGAATAAAATTTGACGTGAACTTCTACGATTTTTAAGGGAAACATTATATAAACAATTGCTTTAGATAGGCTCCCCCAAAAGAAAGGAGGCGCTCATATGTATGCGTATTCTATAACATAAAGATACAGACGTGGTTACGAATCCAGAAGATAAATGTTATAGTAGAGTCCGAGTCCGAACCAAGGAGTTAACTAATAAATAGCTACAGTTACAGTTTACACATAACATAATATTGTGGTATTTAAAGGTAGTAGTAGGTAGGCTACGTAGCTCCTTTTCCTCCTCCTCTTGTAGTCCGTTCGATTGGTTATCAATTAATTATATGTCGGAAGCTGGCGCAACTCACTAACATTGCTTGATTGTGTTGGGTTCCTTCGCTTAGGCTTACAAAACTTACTCCATAAATTATATATGTAAATAAATTGTTGTAAAGTAGTTATATATTCATGTATGTATATAATCGTACGAAAAATTGTTGCGTTCAGTGTCGGTGTCATGTCAGTTTCAGCTTTGGATCTGGCAGGGATTGGCTCTGCTCTTGGCTTTGATGACAGCTGGTCTGAACAATCCTCTTTAGTTCTTCCTTATCGCCCTGGCGTCCATATCTCAGTGTCTCCTCACGCCGTAGCGTTGTTCAGCAACTGCAATTTAACCTTGAGCTCCGCGAAAGTGGGCCGCTTGGCCGGATTTAAGTCCCAGGCCTGGCGCATCATTTCATAGATCTCTGGTGGACAGCCTTCCGGCGCTTCCATTTTATAGCCCACCTCAACGTGCTTTACCACATCGGCTAATGGCTGTATTGGACAAGAAATGCGGTTAGTCACGTATCAATTTAAGGGATGAGATATCTGTACTTACAATTCGTGGATAAGGCACGCGACCAAAGGAGTAGATTTCCCATAGCAGTATGCCAAAGCTCCACATGTCTGATTTGTTGGAAAAGCGCTAAATGGATAAGGACAAAGGACATTAGTTGTTATGTGCAACAGTTTTGTACTCAATCATTTGAACTCACCCCATTTTTAAGAGCCTCGGGAGCCGTCCATTTGATGGGCAGCTTGCCAACGTCAAGATTATAGCATTCCTCGCGGGCCAAACCGAAATCCGATACTTTGGCGACACAGTCCTCCGAGATGAGGACATTGCGAGCCGCCAAATCGCGATGCACAACCTTTTTGGCTTCCAGATACTCCATACCAGAGGCAGTGTCGCTGAATGAGAAGGTTGGTTAAAATGGATTTTCAATGGTATTATAGTAGACAGCTTACTAGGCAAAAATGATTTGATCCTTTTTGGTTATGTGCTGTCGTCCGCGTGATCGCAGGTAATCAACCAGTGATCCCTTGCTCATGTACTCCGTAACCAGATACAGATGCTTGCTGGTGAATACCAGGCCGATAAACTTTACCAAATTGTCGTGCTCCAGAGTGCTGAAAAATGAGTTTAGATATAGAAAGGCAAATTAACAATTTGTAGGATAACTTACGTCATGACCGAGGCCTCGGCCAGAAACTTTTGCACGGCACCCTCATCCTTCAGCATCTTAACGGCCACCTTCTCGTTGCGTAATATGCCCAGCATCACGTCCCCAAACTCGCCCTTGCCAATGCTCTCGCGCAGCTGCAGCTCCGCCTCAGGGATCACCCAGCCTTTGTCCACAAAATCTTTGGAGTTAATGCAGAACTCTTGTTTGCCCAGCTTGGGCAAGCACTTGATGAGCTGAGTGCAAAGCCCATCCGCATCCGCTTCGTAGTGCTAAAAGGATGAGATGGTTTAGTAAGTTATCTTAGCAATGTTTCTTTCATGACTTACCGCCACTAGCTGACCCAAATTCTCGAAATACTCCTCGTCGTCGATGGTTAGCTTGTTCTCCAGGTACTTAACCCGGTAGTGTTCCACCTTGGACTGGAAACAAACACAGAGAGTGTAGTCGCCGGGGAAATTGGTGGACTCGCGCACCAGGAACAATCCGTCCTCACGGGGCTGCAGCAGATGCTCTGCCTCATCCCGTGTTATGCTGCCATGGAACCATCTAAGGAGCAGAAGACGACGATTACGATTACTATATTCTTAAATGTTTTATATATTAATTGTCAACTCACGGCATTGCGTTTAATTTGACCTCACATCTGGAACGACCTTGTTGCGGTGCCATCGCTGTGGGCGAGAGGGAGGCGTGGTTCATGGCCGTGGTGGATCCGCTGGACCACGCACTGGTCGCATTCACCCCACTGGTAGCAGCGCCCCCATTGATGTCGAAGCTGTGCAGCGAGGTGGACATGCCCGTCGACCCGCTGCCACTAACACCGACCACCGCCGCCGGCTGGGATGCCTGTGTTGGTTGGGTGGCTGTGTGCAGCAGCATATTGCTGCCGTGCTGGCTTCCAGTGAGCGCCAGACTCTTTGGCGGCAGCGCACGCTCGGTGCCGTGCAAGGCCATTTGGGCAGCATTCAGTGAGGAGGACATCAGCCCCGCTCCACCAGGCGCACAGTTGGCCAGCAGCTGAAGGTGTTGCTGTTGTTGCTGCTGAGCAACGGCAGCCACTGCTGCAGCCGTACCGGCCACCGTCTGCGATCCCGCCGGCTGACCAACGGAGGCAACAGTGGGAGCAGGAGCAAACGTTGACAATATATTGTGTGACGCCTGTTGTTGCTGCTGCTGTTGGCTCGTTGTCTGTTGCTGCTGTTGCGTCTGGCTGGGGGACTTGGGCGAATGATTGCTGGCGCTGCTGATTAAATTATGACTATTAAGAGCATGCGATGACAAATGCAATGCGGCTGCCGCGCCCGCCTGGCTGGGATGCTATAAAGAAGAGCAATGTCAGTAGAGCAATTTAATAAATATGATTACAGTTTGGCACACGTACCACATTGTTCTCGCGATGGTGGTGATGGTGCGGCGGTATGCTTGGCGGCACAATGTGCGGCTGGGACTGGCTAAGCTGCTGCTGATGGAGAAGCACCGCCCCAACTGCCGATCCAGATGTTGTGCCAGTGGCTCCTGCTCCCAAAACCGTATTGGGTTGGGGGGCAGGACGCTTGTTATGCCGCAACGGAGCTGTTGGCGGCATCTGGTGGCCGGTGGTCTGGAGGAACCATGGATCGCCGGCTGTACTGCCCGTCGCCGCTGTTGCGGCCACCGTCACCGAGGGCTGCGAGAATCCGCGATGGTGTCCGACGACCGTGGTTTGTCCGTTTTGCGTGGCGGTCGCGTGGCTATTCATAGCCGTGCCGATCGTCGTGGTTGCCGTCTGCTTCCTCAGCGGTCCCTGTTTGATCTCAACGGTGATTAGATCACCCTCACCGGACGCCTTCCTCGAGAGGGGTTCTTTCTCCTTATCGTCCTCCTCCTGAATCTTTTGCTTGGACTTTTGAACCTTCTCCTGGCTCTTTTCCTTGGTTAGGGCTTCTTCGTCTGCAAATAGCAAAATGAATCCGAAAATTATTGTTTGTATGATGTTGTTATTTGCTGATATAATGAAGGCAAAAGCATCTAATCTTATCACACCTCCGCACATATTGACAATGTTATCTACATTAATTATATTATTTATTTCCTTGACAATCAACTGGTCAAATATATAACTTATTTTATGGCTCCCACACAATTATCCAATAGATTGGATAGAGTAATCGAAACCCCATTCATCAACACATAGGTAAGCGGAATGATTAAAACTCTGTAAAGATTTTCTTACATTTTTGACACAATGTGACAGATTTGAAATTCAGGAATTTTATCATTATAAAATAAATTTTAAATTTTATCTAATATATAATATCTGACATTGCAATCATATCAGTTAAAAGAGCAAACGCAATTTTTGAAATTTTTCCCTCACTTCACTTTTCAAGATATCAATATAAACATTTTTCAGCTCGCATATCTGATTCCCTGATATAGCTGAACACATTGACAGATCGAGCTTGACTTTCCGGATAGCCCAAGCTTCTCTCGTGATCAGTTAGAGGCCAAACGCACGTTTATTTAATCAGTCAAGTCAGTTCACAAATAGCTGCGATTGCATAAGCGACTTTGGGATGCGCAATGATAATTGTTGGTCAACACACTCAACACTCCACACTGTGTGACTCAAATGGACACAATTGGCATGTTAATCGGTTGAACCGAGTGAATTCACCCGCCAAATGTAAAACATTTGCATGTGACGGGCATAATTAAACCCAGTTTATTGCGCACTTTTTGGGTTTGGACTACTGTTTCCCTGGACACGATTTTGGTTTCGGGATGAGTCAGATTTATATCGCTATATAACATCCCACAGAAGTCTACACATGGAGAAAAATCATGAAGAACAAGGAGTGTTCACAAAGAACATGTTTTTAAGAAAATTTTACTTCATTAAATACTTTTTTAAGCGGGCAAAAGCCTTAACAATAATGTATTTTCCATTAAGTGTAAAATTATTCCAAGTGTTTTAAGCCAATCCCCAAAGCGTTAGATGTTCTGCGAACCGTTTTTCCCCCTGTTCCCACTCCAATTTCCATTACTTGTAATTGTGCTGTTTTAGGCAGTGATGCCTCTGCTAGCCGCTTAATTTCTTAATTTTATGCAAATTTCATTAGCGAATCTCGCTCGCTTGGCGGAAACGCTTTTTGCATATTAAATTCTCATTCTGGGACGTGAACTTATCGTGGGAGTGAGTGAAGTCGAGGCGTGGGCATTGTTTAAATAGCGACAGGTTGGTTGGTCGTTGCCAGCGAAGGAGAAGGCACGCGCAGGTCAGTTTACCGCTCTCGAAGCCCAAGACCTTGTCCGTAAATTATTTGAAGTCACATCCGCCATTCGCAGCAGACCCCGTCGACCCGATGTTTTGGTTATCGGTCTAAATTGGTTTAGCATGACTGTTCGAATGCGAGAATCCGTTCAGGAATTGCACTCGGCCAACTACACTCATAGTCATCGCTATTCGTCAGCGGCTTCCTGTTCGCCGGAGTCGCAGTCGGAGAGCTTTGAAGTCACTCCCTCAGACAATAGTCTTTATATTTGTGTACTCGCCGCTTATTGTTTCAATTGTTCGACCACAACGTGAAATTTAGCGCTGCTCCGTGAAAGATAAATCGAAAATGGGCTTTTGCATAAGTTTGCACTAAGAAAAAACTTTTTTTTGTCATTCAAAATTTGAGTCATTGAACAAGAAATAAGAATACTATATGCTTGACAACTAGCATTACTAGCAATTAAGTCTTGACATTTTGAAAAATCCAATGAAACAAAAGATTTTGTAGCTCATAAACAATTTAGGGATACTTAAAGTAAAAATTTCGCTGAACAAATGGTAATTTTATGAGTTTTTAAAAACAAATATTTTTAAGTCGCAAATTGTGAGAGCTATCATTTTTTTTAATGATTTAAAAATGTTTTTTTTCTCTGCACATTACTCACTGTGAAACGATAATTTTAATTTTTTTTATTCACACTCTCAGGTCCAAGGACTTTTGATTCTCCAGTCTCCCTACTGACTCCTAAAGAATCATACTTACGGATAATGATGGAACAGAGCCATTCTGATCCCACACTCCACAGAGGGTGAGTCAGAGGAAGATATAAATAGTAATAGTAATTACGGGAAGACAAGCTATGGTAAGCCGACGTTTTTGTATACTCTTTAAAAGCAGATAAATTTAAGCAATACAACCTATTTTATAATATTAAAAATTTTAAGCTGTAAGTTAGTAGTAACTTAACGGCTTTACCACATTTACAATACCCTCCTCCGCAAGAGTAGAAGTACAAAGTATTGACAATAAAGTGCCGGCAATAATCTTATGTAAAGCCAATGCCCACTCGAGCTGTCATCGCCGGGAGTGACTCCGGAGCCTTTGATTAGTCAACGCCGGTGACAGGCCAATTACTATATAGTACCCCCGCACCTGTCGATGTTTACATCAACAACTTTGCATGTGCGTGCTAGGTAGCTATGGGTATATACCTCCAACCTATCGACAGGTGTTGCCACACATGCTATGGCAAGACGAATACCAGAGTGTAAATAATGAACAGAAAAACATTGCTGATCTTGCAAAACACCACAAATAATTAATAAGCCTGAAGTGTTTTAGTTATATTTGGCAAAGAATTGTAGAAGAGAGCGAGTCGGACATAAACTACCTTCGGAATTCGTAAACAAAAAGGTAAATTAAAAGGCGAGAAGGTAGAGGAGGCAGACACGCTCCTCAAATATAAATCAACAGCTAACAAATGAATAAACACAACAATGCCGGGCAGTGATGAACATGTATACTCGTATTTGTGTTTTGTTTAAATATTCAAAAAATAATAATCATAAAAAATGCACAAATTTAAAATTAACGACATGGATCTGCCGGACATGAGTGCAAAAAGCGATTCCAAAGGTTTGCCAAAATAAAAGTGCAAACAATAAAATTGAATGATTCATTGGCAAATGACAGTTCAACGCACATATCGTGCGGGTAAATATACTTTTGCAATGCACTGTCGACTGGCTGTGGGTGTTGAGCAAAAGTCAAATGAAATGCGCAGTAATCCGACTGACTCGATGAGGTAATACTAATTAGCCAAAGCAACAAAAATGCACTGTGGAACGATTCCAAATGAAAAAAGGCATTTCCTTCTCAGCCAACAAATGATTAAATATAAATATAAATTAAAACTTTTCATGGGTCAAAGATATTTGCCCCGAGTACTAGCTCCATTTAATCTGATTCAGAAAATTAAACGAAACAGCTTGTTGGGCTGCACTCTTTTTCTTCTCTAATGGATTTATTCTCTTTTCACTAATTCCACCGTTGAAAGCTAAAGACCCTCGTTGCAACTATAGTAGTTAATACCCAACTATTTTATTAAATCCCCTTGAAAAGCCCAGCTAGCTAATGAAAGCTCTGTCTGTCTGCCAACAGTTTTAGCTCCGGCTGACAGCCCAGCGATTCTACCCTTGGGCTCCGAGACTTAGGATGAAATTGTATATGAGTGAGCAGAAGATTGGGAGAAAACAGTTCAACACCTATAAAGCTAACAAGTACGTATGTATGTACATGGGAATCTTTTGTATAGCTTCCTTATTGTTTAAGTTAGTGCACAACACACACACACGCAAAACGCACTCCACAAAAATAACAACGGAACATTCAAGTTGTTGAAACCGTAGTCATAAATACTCTTCCAGGGATGCTTCCTTAACTAAGCTTTTGTTTATAACACTCATTATGAATAAGGAAATAAATAATAAATATTCGCCAAATTTGTTGATATCGCCAAACACTTCTAAAAATATTACTTTATAACAATCTTATCCGTTGGCTTTTATAATCACCTCTTTTTATGTGGCAGGATACTAATCTACGTCTAAAATCCTATGACTGTACAATAGAATCTACAGTTATAAATATTATCATCACAACAATCTTCTGCCTTGAATTAATTTATATTTTCGACTTGAAATACCCCAAAACGAGAATGCAGTATATAAATTACAAGGTGCTATGTTTTTTCACCTGTGCCTCGCCAATTTCTGTGAATAATTGCACTACCCCACGGCGCAGTATTAACATAAACAAATACATATATATAGAGCAACCATTGGGACGAAGGGGACCAGGTTTCCGACATTCTCACACTCTTTTTTGTTCAGTGGCGAAGGGGGACTGTAACGACAGGTAAATATACACACAGCAGACAATCATTCCTGCACAAACTCAGTCAACAGTTGCCGGTGGTTCCTGGGCCATTGTGTTGCCACCAAACAGTTGGAAAGTGCAGGCCAAAAGAAAGGTAACCTTAGTCAGTCAGTCAGTCAGTCGCTGGGTTTTGGTCTAAAACGTAAGGGAAAAATGGGGAGGGAAAAAGCCATGAATGGAACGCGAGGCGCTCATGAATGGCGTGTGATGGTTTTTCGCCGGTGTTCAGAAATTTGCATATCGCATGATAGGCGATGAGCAGCAGGAAAACCGCAAGCAGGAAGAAGGAAGCCAAGTGGCAGACATTGGGTAGAAGACTACACCTGTGCAAAAACAGAGGTACATGTATCTGCTAATTACACGGTTAGCTGCCTCATGTGGTTGACCCTGAGAAGGCAGAGTTTTGGGGTGGCCGTAGATCCCTTCTCCTTCTATAAATCTCTTTGGGTCTTTATGCAGCCGCAACGGGACACCGCTGGAGGAGCTTTGGTCTTTTGGTCAGTTATTGCCCAACGGTTAGACCATAATTCAATACCCCAGCTCAATGTCAGCGAGCGGAATGAGAATTTGGACGCTTGAAGTGGCTTGTAACTCAATCTACAGATTGCTTGCAACACCAGCCACAAAAATTTGGAGCAGGGCTGAGTCGTTGAATTTGTAGGGTTTTGCAAAGAACATATTTCAAAACACTTTATCTAAGTTCTTTAAACTGAAAGAAATATTAAAGTTTTTCTAATCTTGTTAAGTACTAACCGAACCACTCCTCCGAGCTGGCAATGGGCGGCAGTGAACGTGAGGTCTGCTGTCCGATTTTCTTTGTCCTTTCACGGGAATTTCCCAAGGATCTGTCTTTGGTTTGTTGGAACTCCGTTTTGGTTTTGGTCGCCTGGAACTTCCGATGGGCACAACGCAGGAAGTTTAGCAGACGTGCGTCAATGGGCGGGGAGGATTCGTGTTTGGCAGATGACGAGGATGATGGGGGTATTGTAGGTGTACTCCTTCCAGGATTTGGCGCATATTTGTCGCAAAAGTAAAACTCCCGCCGGCGAGGTGGGGCATAAGCAGCGCTCAGGCTACTGCAAAGGAGTATGGGCTTGCGACGAGCCCGGGAGATAACCTGTCCACCACTGTGGGTGGCGTGAGTAGCCGCCTCCTTGTGGGTGACAGTGCTGGCGCTTCGCGATAATCCCGATCCCGAGAGTGTTCCCGCTCCCGAAGCCTCCCGACTCTGCTTGCACCAGTAGATGTCCTTGCTTCCAAAATAATAACGTCGCCTTGTGTCCTGCGTTCCCGATCCTCGATGACTACGGCCCACCGAACGATTTGATCGCTTGCTGGTACTGGACGCCGTCTGACTGCCACTGCTCGTCTGCGAATTGTCACTTTCGTTGTTCGAATTGGAAGGAGATGAAGACGCAGATTTCAGTGCCCGATCTGAGGATGACGATCCAGCTGCACCTTCTCCACGTGGAGCAGGCGAGGGCATAAGGTACGAGTTGGATTGGATGAAGACGCCATCGCAGGTTATCTTAATTGTTGTCACCATGTTGTTCCCGCATTGCGTTCACTTTCAGTGGCAGTTCACCTTTAGATTATTTTTCTATTGCTCTAACCTAAGATCTGATCTTGATGGCGCAATACCTTTGGCTTAAATTTGATTTCTTAAAAGAAAAGATTTCTTTCAACTCAATAAGGCAAGTTCTTAAGAGTATAGTTCGAGTTTTCCCCTTTATAGAATAATTAAAAGAACCCAAATTTTTGTGACAGACTTTCAAATTACCGTCTACCTAACTTCCAATTTCAATATAGTTTCTCTATTAGTGCAAATAGGAGATGGTTCTGATGGATGCCATTGTTACTGCACAGTAGCAGATAGTACAAATAGCAAAAAAGAACCCATCCCTGCATGTCGTAGAACTAAAATCGAGGCTAATGCCCAGTCTGTAGTGGACAAAGCCCGGCAAATTGTTTTCGTTGGTAATAATACTAATTAAGGTTCTGTAAGCGCCTCGATTTGGTATCGGCCAGCATCGACGTAGCCACAATGGACAGCTGGGCGGAATCAATAGTGAAGCGACCGGGGCAAATAATAGCGAGCAAAAAAAAAAAGCGCAAATGGGAAATTTCTAAAGAGAAAATTCAAACTGCAAAAAAAACAAAAGACAAATGGAATAAAAGCCAAGGCTAGAGAGATAGAAAAACAGAGGTAGCTGCAGAAATTAACTTCATTGGAAGGAAATCATGGTACTCCAGTAAATAATAACAACTCTTTGGCATCCATAGTTTATGTTTTTTTTTCTGTTTCTTTCTAGTTTTTGGCATTCCTCAAGCAAGTCAATTCGCCACATTAACGGTTTGTCAGCGGCTTACTGGAAATAGTCGACAATGGCTTTGAGTGCTCCACAAACAGCTGAAAACGCTGGTTTGGGCCAAAATCAGTTGCCGCCATGGCATGACGTTGTTTCTCTGCCTGCCTGCCTGCCTTCTTTCTCTGGGTTGGGAAAACACGAACCAAGGCAGTTGCCTGAATTGAATTGGAATTTACTGGAGCTCTGGCTATATATTGTGCAAATAATTTGGGCGTGGGAACCGCGCAGTCGACGTCGACTGAGCAGTTAGCAGAGAGAGCTATTGTCTATCCCTAGACAGGTGGCAAATGTTGGGAAAGTTGGTGGAGCGAAAGAGATATATGTGCACCGATAATGTGATATAGTTGTAAGCAAGATAGGGTTGTTAATTACTCGGAAAATGTATAGCTTTATATTCAGATGAAGGAGGAGATTTGATAGTTAGCCAAGTAAACTTTTATATAAAAAGAAACTATATCTTAAGAAATCCAAAGTTTTATTATTTTCATTTGCAATTCGGCAAAAGAAAACTCTCACTGCATCTTCACTTTCTTCGGCGGATTTGAGAACTTTCCTGGGTAAATGTCAACCCACAATTAACTATGCAAATGAGCCAGAATTGGGCACGTGGAAAGTGATTGCTTATCATGACCCACAAAGGAACCGGGGCCAAATGAAATTCTCCGCACGAAAAGTGTTGCCGAATGGGAAAAGCGTTCGGTTGGCTAAAGAAGAAGAGCACCCAAAAAGACACACAAAAAACTAATTAAATAAAACAATAACACAGAATTATGTATGACACAACGAGTTTCTGTCTGTCGACGTTGACGAAATGCAAAATGAAAAGCAAAAGCCACAAAGTCAAATCAAAATAAAAGACCAAAAATCTAAGACGTTGACTGAAACAAAGTGGGCAATAAGCGAAGTGAAAAGCCCAAAAAGAGTCAAAACAGAAGAGCTAAAGACAATGGGCCACGTTTTTGTTTTTTTTTATTTTTTGGGCCTGGCTGAAATGCGTAAGCTAGCTGGTCCGGATATCCTCGGAATGGGCGTGTCTTATGCGGCGTTTCGGATCGGTTTGATGGCCGGCGGCAGTACCTGTTGCATATATCATTTTGGCCAGCCGCCAGTGAAAGTTTCTCGATACCCTGTCCCAAAACGGTAACTATAACATGGCCAGAAGAGCTGAAAAACCCCAAATTGATAGCCATGTAACTAGAGACAAAGAGCATTTAGCATTTACTATTATTTCTGACCATTCCCGGGGGGCTTAATTAATAATTTAATTTTTACAATTATTTTAACGTGCCAGGCACGCATTAAAAGAAAATGAAGAGAGTCCGAGTCCGAGTCGAGGAATGAAAAATGAAATGCGCCATTGGCTTTGGATTGTTTAGAGTGGAAGTGGGTGTAGAGGGGCAGGCGGGCACATCTTTGGCCAATTGGAGGGTTAAGCTCGTCTTCAGTTGTGTGCAGTGAATGGCAAATTGAATAAGTGGATGGAAAACACATAAAAGCCGTGTACAGAGCCAAGAAAAACATAAAAAATTGTTTCACGCGTCTGCAGTTGAAGTTTAAGTTGTTTCTCTATTTTTCGTACTTCTTTTTTTTTTTTTTTGTCCACTTTCACTTGGTCCAGCCAGCTTGGAAATACAAATTTCAGCCAAGACTTGGACTCCGACTTGCTCAGGATGACGTTTGTCGGATTAGTTACCCATTCAGAGAGCGTTGGCGAAAACTAGTTACAGTTTAAGGCTCCGGTTTTTCTTTTTGGCCGATTAGAGCGGCGATGACTAATGCGCTGGAAAATTGAAAATGCCTCGACACGCCAGCCTACAATGTTTTATTTTTTCTGTATTTGCTGTCTTTTTTTCCGGTTTTTATTTTGTCAAAGTCGAATGTCTGCACGTCGCCAAAATTAGCGTGCAAATCGATTGTGCAGCAGAGGGTTTAAGCCGAGTGATTCATGCAATTTCGGGATCAGCCGCGGTCTGTAGCTGCATCTGGGATCGGATTAAAATGTGCAGTTAGAGAGCGGGCAGAATGGAAGAATAAGCGAAGAAATTGCAGTAATGGCAAGTAACCTCCTGGGGCTGGGGGAATTCAATCCACGGATACCTGAGAAAACAATTAGCACTCTTGTGATTGAAGTTGGCTTGGGGGGGGGAAAAAACACTGCCAATCGCTGAGGAGGAGGAGAGTGGAGAGGAGTTAACATGCTGCCAAGGCACTTTCATTCAAGACTTTCAAACAATCAAATATGCAGCGAGGCGATCGTCTTCATCAGTTGCACACGAAAAAATTACATGATTTGGCGAAAAAATTTAATTTAAAATGTGGTATTTAGCCACCTTGTCTTCGTATGGTTTTAGAAAGGTAGTTAATTAAATTCCAACATTTCCAAAATGAACCTTTAAGTCGCTAAAAAGTTGGATGAATATGATAACAGCTAAATAATCTTAAAAAAAACCAAATTTTAACCAGTAAAACCCAAAAAAAAAACTTCAATTTTGTCTGTGCATGCCTTGAGCAACACCGTATTAACCACGGACACACTTAAACATTGATTGCTACTAATGCCCGATTCATCTGACCCAAACCCATAATTAAGCGGACATCCCCAACATGGCAAACAAATCAAAAACCAAGCATACAAAGGTCATTGCGCCACCTAAGCGAAATCTCAAAGATATATATGAAAAGATATTAAAACGCGAATTCATCAATTGGGAGCTAAAAAGGAAGCTCATCTCTCTCCGCTTTTTGTTTCACTTTCATCGCACTTTGTTCAATAAAAATTTGCATTAATCACTTCCTTGAGGCGCCCTCCGAATGCCAGAAAAAAGCAAAAATATGATTCGCGCTTGTATAATTAATTATTACAATAGCGATATCAACAATTCGAATTCGCGCCGTTACATCACACGATCGTCTTCCTTTTGTATAGCACTAAACGGATTATCAAAAGGCCACTTTGCATACCGTCATAATTTATTGTTATTATGTATTGCAAAAAGCCAATTGCAATCGATTGAATCGTTGGCCAATTCACACACACGCGATGATGAACTGCGCATGCGTGGCGAGCGGTTTTATTATTATTTTATTTATTGTATTTTTTTAATTTAAACGCGACCGCGCGCCTTGACTGCAAGTTTTCAACTGAAAACCGCTGCACGAAGTTACCGCGGAGACTGAGTCACGATAAATTGAATAAAAAAAAACACCTCACAGCTCGAGAGAGGGAGAGCTCTTGCCAAGCTTTGATTTTCTTCGTGTTTGTGAGCCGGCTTCTTCTCTTTATCGGCCATATCGCATGCGATAAAGACCAGTCTCTCGCATGCGATCGCCCACCTGCTGCACTATTTGTCCACCGAGGCGGCTTTTGCCTTTTCAAAGCTCCTAGGCAGTGTAAATAAAATCAAAACATGCGTTGCCCAACTCATTAGGCCAATTTTGGTTTTTCAAGTTTCTACTGCGGTCTCGCTTTTGGCCTGGCCAAAAGTAAGTCAGCCTGCGGTCGCAAATTTTTACACAGAAAAACTAAATTAAAAATATTTTATCTAATCAAACGTTTACAAATGATTATAAGCAATAATAATTTATTACGTTCGAGGGAACCTCACTCAGAACGTATTTATAGGCAGTAATATTACTAATAGGATATTTAAAAATATTATGCATTTTTTAATCCCATGTGTTTTGATTGCTGTTTGAATCTTTAACTTAATTAGTGATTGGTTTATTTCTCTATTAACTTTAAAAACAATCTGCAGTGCACTCTGTGATATCGGAGCTTCATGCCGAATGCGATCTGAGTTTCAAAAACACACATCCAGTAACATTGGAGCTTTGTGGCTTGGATCGATTTCCTTTCTGTTTCGTTTATTTGGTCTAATTGCCGCCGTTGGCCATGTTAATTAATTCCCCCATTATTGGGCTCCATTTCCCCCTCTTTCACTGTTTTTCCTCCACTGCTTGTATGGCAAATAGTTTTACTTTTGCATGTTTACTTTTCGTCTCCGTTTCCAGGCAATTTGTTGCCCGCTGTCGAATCAGTTGTTTGCAAAAATGTAGACATCAAAATGTTTATTGTTTCTTTTTGCATCCAGCGTTTGCAGTTGCAGTTGCACAGTTCGTGATTTTCTGCAAATTTTTCTCTTTGGCATTTTTTGCATATTTGCAAAGCAATTAGCATCAAAGTGAAGTCGAAACTGTGCCTAGAGAAAACCAGCAAGAGATATTTCTGACGTCACCAGTTCTCCCAGCGAATTCGCCTCGCAAATCCCATATAGCAAGTAGATCAAAGCAAGGGATATGTGCTAAAAATACCCGCAAACCAGCATAAATAAACAAACGGGAAAATAAACTCAAATATGTAAAGAAATTTTGCGCGAGGCAATAAAGCGAGAGCAGAAATAATTTAAAGAATTTCAAATACATTTATCAACTGTTCCAGATAAAATACATATTTCTGCCAAGTGTCCCCAGATAAACCCTGTTCCATATTTCCTCTGTTTGTAAGATTAAATTCTGGACTGATTTTTCTGATAAAGTTATATAGCCAACGAAAGGAAAACTTGTGCGGTATACTTTAACAAAAGTATTAAAATGTCTTTTTTTTGGCACACATTTTGTTAAACCCAATAAGTATTTTTAAGTTTAAGAAATTCGCTGAGTGTGAAGATTTAGAAGAGATATTTTGGCAGTTGTTCAATAAGTTGAATAATGTCTCCTATACTTTTAACACATAACATATTTATTAAATTTATATTTTTGAGGGGTCAAAGGAAGTACATTTATATTTTTAATATATTTCTTCCCAATACTTTTGTGCAAAAACATGTATAAAAACTATTATTTAGGGCGCACGTCTAAAAATAATTTTTAAAAATATTTTTTATATTCCCTAGTAACCAACACAGCCCCATGAATAATGTTTTATTGCCAATCGGACTAATTAAAATTGCAAATTCCAATTAGCATTCCAATCAGTCCAGCGTACAGTGGTCATGCAAAAGCGTAATTAGCGCAAGTGAAAATGGTATAGATAGTCGTAATAAGCGCAATAAAGGGAATATTGAACAGTGGGCGCCAAAAGTTAGTCACTCATTATTCCAATGCGAAAAGTTCACGCAACACTGACCTCACACAGACAAAACTTCTCTCGCACACACAAACATTTACAGATCGAGTATAACGCCCACGCATGTTGCAATACACAAACAAGCAAACAAACGGGATACAGAGAACGTACGAGAGTAGTGGGTGGTGGTGGGGGGAGCTTTGAGGCGCCTACGTGTGACGTCAGCGCACGAAAATTTTTGCCGACGACGCAGAAACTGACCGAAAGACACCAACACTAACAACAGCAACCACAAAAACAGAAAACATTACTACGGACGGAAACCCATAACAAAAACTACGATGCGCCACGCTTCGGTTATTGCCTTTAATTACTACTGTGGTTGTCGTTTTTGTTGTACGCATCGGTCATTCATGGCCCGATTGTTGGCTATATATGTACATATTTATATAGCTTCGTGGGTATGCATATGTGTGTATAAGTTTGTTATTAAAAAAAAAACGCCAGAACAACAACAAAATTCGCGCCGCAAAGTTGTAAAACGTGTTTTCGTATTCGCTTTGATTGGAACCAAAATTCGTAGTTTTTGTGTTTTTTATTATGATTTTGCTTTCGTTTCGAAGCCAAACTAGTTGACCTCAGACAACAGCATTAAAATACAAATAATATAAAGAAGCTGCAAGTTGACCCATAAATAGGCAATACTAATACAGTCCTTATTGAAAAAGATCAACTTAAAGATATTTTTATAATATATAGTTTTGAAATGAAATTCTAATTTAATATACTTTGAGCTTTCTCATATTATAAGTTTTATTTTTTGAATCCTACTTTTGTATTATATATTTTTAATGTATGAAGTACCCACTGTATGCTTTTACGAGTATTTGTTTTTGTTTCTGCGAATTTCATCTGCATTTATAATTATCATCATAATGGACGGGCAAAGTTTTATGCAATATTTGCTTTTCATTGTTTGATTTGCGCAAAAGGTATTTGCAGAGACTTTATTTCGGTACTGTTTTACTCTTTTTTATTTGCCAAGTTACGGTATCCTTTTTTCACAAGCTTTCGTCACTTCACACCCACACACACACATACGCAACACTCACACAGCGACAAGTGTATTAAGGAAGCAGACAGCGCGACGCTGCAAAAAGGGCGTTGGGCGGAGTCCTTAAAAACGGGGCTCAAAAAGTAGTAGTCCCAAAATTTTACACTAAAAACCATATGGCTTACCTGTTTTTCAATGCTGTTTTTTTCTGGATCTTTAGCTATAGTTGTTATATTTGTGGGTCTGTTTTTCGCTTTGTTTTTATTGTTGTTGTCGTGTTGTTTTTGTTGCTCCTCCACCGTTAACATTCCAATCCGACGTTGCTGCGCTGCCGACGCTGCTGCTCGCTACGCTGCCTTTGCTGGCGCTTCAAGCCATCAGCCACATGCACATTTCATTTGAATTATCACGCATATATAATAAGGTGTATCTTAATATATTATATTTATAAACATTTGCACCACCTTTCCGTTCCGATCCGATATATGGAATATAAATACACACAAACACTTGCACGGGCACTCTCACGTACACACACTCCGACACCTGGCTGCTGGTTTTGTGGAATTTTCGATTCTATTCTCCGTGTTTTCGGCCCTCTCCCATGGATCCTGATGCATATCGGCATTTGCATCCGCCTTAGTTTATACCACGCATGTCGTTCGGTTTTAATTCGATTGCACAAACAGTACGAGCGATTTTAATTTAAACAAAAAATTCACACGAGAGCAGAGCGGCCATCTTGCGCTAGTGTTGTTCAATTTCTTTAGGTGGTGCAGAGTATGACCAAACTGTAATATGCCATTAATCTTACGTACCAGCGGTTGAATTTCTGGCTCTTTTATAGCCATATATGTGTTTCAATATTTTAAGATTATCGGAAATATTTAAACCAGTTTATTTTAAGATTTCTTGTTCAGTTTTTATTCTTCTTAATGCTTATTTTTTTTTACATTTAAGTATTTTAAAGATATATTCAGTATAATATATCAAATCTTCAACGATATTTAAAGCTCTGGCCACACTGTTCCACACGTGCAATTTTTACGAAATATGCGCAATCTGAAGCTGCAATATTGCAAGGAGCTGGATGCCGTGGCTCAGCCCCGGCAACTGCTCCTGCAGCCTGAGTTAAACGGTGATGCCTCGGATATATATTTCGTGGTGGCCGACAGCAAAATCTACGCTGTACGAGAGTCGTTAGACGCGCGACCAACAGTCATCGCCGATTTGCCGGACATTGTAGGAGTGGAGTTTCTGCAGCTGGATAATGCAATATGCGTGGCCAGTGGTGCAGGTGAAGTGCTCCTGATTAATCCTGAGTCGGGAGATACCAGCGAGGGAACATACTGCGACGTGGGTATTGAGCGCATGTCCTGGTCACCCAACCAGGAAGTGGTGGCCTTTGTTACCCGCACCCGCAACGTGGTACTGATGACCAGCACGTTTGACGTTATCGTCGAGCAGACATTAGACGCGGATCTAGCCCCCGATCAGGAGTTCGTTAACGTGGGATGGGGTAAAAAAGAGACGCAGTTCCACGGATCGGAAGGAAAACAGGCTGCCAAGCAGACTGGAAGTGATACTACTATCGGCGAGGACTGGAAAGAGCTTAACCAAGTAGCATTCATCTTTTTGAATTTTATGTAGAAAAATCTAATTGCTTTGCCTCAAACAGGATATTAATATTTCATGGCGCGGCGATGGAGCTTTCTTTGTGATCTCTTATGTGTCTGCACAGCTGGGTCGTCGTACGTTCAAGGTTTACGACTTAGAAGGAAAACTCCATCACACAGCCGAGAAGAGTGACAATCTAAAGGAGGTAGTGGTCTGGCGACCTTCGGGCAATTGGATTGCCCTACCGCAAAGGTTCCCCAACAAATCTACCATTGCTCTTTTCGAAAAGAATGGCTTAAGGCATCGGGAGTTAGTGCTTCCCTTTGATATTCAAGAAGAACCAGTCGTGCAGCTGCGATGGAGCGAGGACTCGGACATACTGGCGATTAGGACAGCCACCAAGGAGGAGCAGAGGGTATACCTCTATACAATAGGAAATTATCATTGGTACTTAAAGCAGGTGTTGATTTTTGACCAAGCCGATCCGTTGGCCCTGCTCCACTGGGACACACGCATTGGAGCCGAATACACGCTACACATTCTCAAGGAAAGCGGTAAACACTTTGCCTACCGATGGGCCTTTGCCGTGGATCGATACGAGCGTAGTGGTGTCGTCGGGGTCATCGATGGCAAGCGGCTACTTCTCACAGATTTCGCTAAGGCTGTGGTGCCACCCCCAATGTCCCAGCGCGTACTGCAATTGGACAACTATATAAACGCATTCACCTGGTACGAGACCAGTTTGTGTGTGTACACATGCGATCGCAGGCTGTATTCTTACGACCCCATGCAGCAGTTAAACGGGACGGAACCACAGGCTAGCCTTCTTATGCCGGATGAAGAGCTTTCCCGTTTGCCATTAGCCAATCTCACTTATTTTTCCTGCGATTACCTTCTGGCTACGCACAGCTCAGGAGGATCCACGCGTCTTCTGCTGCTGAACAAGGAGGCTGATGAGGATGAAACCAATGAGCAAGGAGAGCTCTGTTATCGAGTACAGAGCTCCGTGCGGATTAGCGGGCTGGTAAATGCTGTAACCATTGGAGCAAATGCCATGGATGAATTTTATGTGCAAACAGTGAATAATGGGCACACCTACGAGGTGTCTCTTAAGACGGACAACACCCTTAAGGTGGAGCGAACTCATGTGCAGTTGTCTCAGGCGGCAGATCAGATTGAGTGGTTTACCATCACTAGCGATTCCACAGGTACATTACACTTTTTTAATCACAATTAATGTTTTTAACTAATGTTAAATTTTGTTTGATTCCTCTCAATAGGAGGTCTTATCACCCTTCGCAATCAGCAACTGCTTCATTTGGACGGCCACCGCATTGCCGAGGACGTCACTTCCTTCTGCGTAGTGGGAAATTATTTGGCCTACACACAGTTGAATGCTTTGCATTTTGTTCGACTCAAGGATCGTCGCCAGGTGTCTAGCAGAAACATTGAACGCGGCGGCAAGCTGGTAACAGCAGTGGCAAGTCAGGCACGTGTCGTTTTGCAACTACCTCGCGGTAACTTAGAGGCCATTTGTCCGCGTGTACTTGTTCTAGAATTGGTGGGTGCTCTGCTCGGAAGGAAGCAATATCAGGCGGCAATGCAAATGTTGCGCAAGCAGCGCATTAACCTAAACATAATTTGCGACCACAATATGGAGCAGTTCGTAGCCTCTGTGGACGTCTTCCTGCGTGAGATTAAGGATAGTCAGTGGCTCTGCCTGTTCTTAAGTGAGTTACAGAACGAGGACTTTGCTAAGGGCATGTACTCCAGCAACTATGATGTTGCCAAACAAACATATCCTTCAGACTACAAAGTGGAGCAGAAGGTGGAATACGTATGCCAGCTGCTGGTAGAACGCATGGATCATGTGGAGCGCTTCCGTTTGCCTATGATCACGGCATATGTGAAGTTAGGTCGTTTAGAACAGGCTCTCCAGCTAATTTGGCGTGAGAAACAGAAAGATGCGGCTCTGGCAGATCAGCTTTTGAAATATTTGCTCTACTTGGTGGACGTCAACGATCTTTATAATGTAGCCTTAGGCACATACGACTTTGGACTAGTCCTATTCGTGGCGCAAAAGTCTCAGAAGGACCCCAAGGAGTTCCTTCCCTATCTTAATGAACTAAAAGCTTTGCCAACGGACTATTGCAAATTCCGTATCGATGATCATCTTAAAAAGTATGACTCGGCTCTTTCACATCTTGCTGCTTGTGGAGAGGAACATTACGAGGAGGCTCTGAATTTTATCCGAAAGCATGGTCTGTACACAACTGGCTTGGTGTGCTATCGGGAACACGTTGAGTTCCAAAAGAGCATCTACGTGGCCTATGCTGATCACCTTAGGGCTAATAGTAAGCTAGATAACGCTAGTCTCATGTACGAGCGTGGCGGTGAGTTGCAGCAGGCACTACTTAGCGCCAAGCACACTCTAGATTGGCAACGCGTCCTGGTGCTGGCCAAAAAGCTTGGCGAGCCCCTAGATCAGGTGGCTCGGTCGTTGGTGGGACCGCTGCAACAGCAGGGCCGGCACATGGAAGCTTATGAGCTTGTAAAGGAGCACAGCAAGGATCGAGACCGACAGCTGGAAGTGTTGCTAGAGGGTCACCTTTACCTCAGAGCTATTTACGATGCGGGTCTAGAGGAGGGAGATGATTTAAGTGAGTTTTTATTTGATGATTTTTGGTGTAGATCTTAACAAAAAATATTTCTAGAAAATAAAATTGCCCCCGCCTTGCTGTCCTATGGTGATCAGTTACAAAACTCACTAAACGCTGACCTGCAGCTCTTCCTAGTGTACAAGCAGCGTCTGTTGGACATTCGGCAAAGACAAGCCAAATATGGTGAAGGGGACAACGATGCGGATGTGGACCTGGAGGAGGTGGACTTAATGTCGGACACCACTAGTATGCACTCATCGCGATACAGCGGCACCTCGCGAGGCACCGGGTAAGCCAAGGAATGCTTCACTGCACCCGACCAGAGTTTCACTTTTTCGCTGTGTTCCTCCTTTTTAGCAAGACATTCCGCTCAAGCAAAAATCGACGCAAGCACGAACGCAAGCTGCTCAGCCTAAAGCCGGGCAACCCCTTCGAAGACATTGCGCTTATTGATGCGCTGCACAACCACGTCACGAAGATAGTCCAGCAGCAACAGCCTGTGCGTGACACATGCAAAGCGTTGCTGTACCTCGGCAGTGCGGGTGATGCGGATCCCCTGGCGTCCGCACTGCAGCGTGAATTTAAGGCATTGCTGCAAACGGTGGAGAGGGCGCTGGACGAGATCTGGACGCCAGAGCTGGTCGGCAACGGATCGATGGCACAGCACCTCACGGGACCCAATGTTGACTATCAAGCGCTGCAGAAGGAGCAGCGCTATGCCTTAATAAGTAGGTGTTTTTGTTAATATTATCTTCGAATCGCCAAGATACCATCCAATTCGAGTCTAATCATAACTCTAAATTGGCTTGTATGACATCCCAGAAATATTGACCCTATTGCTATTATTTTCTTTTTCAGGTCCTCTGAAGCGCTTTAAGCCCCAACTGAATCTGATAGACTGGCAGTACGAGATCCTCCCATATTCCGTATCGGAGCTCTATCAATCGAAATGTTACCGTTTGTGGCAATAAATGTAACATTGAAATGCTAATTGAATGTATCGAAATTAAACAAAGCGAAGCGCAGTGGGCAGATTAGTGCCAGTCCAGTGTCAGGCAGCTGGCAAAAGTGGGCGGCACATCTCCCGAATTCGAGCTTCAATTCGTGCTTTTATTAGGGGGCGTCGCCTCTTACTTATCATTTAAACTGAAATACGCCCCTATTATTTGTATTTTTTAAAGAAAAATGTATTTCCTGTTGGTATTGCAGTTCAGTTTTTTGTTTCTCAAACAAATACTTGTAAGTTTGGTACTGAGGGCACCTTTTGTTTCCAGTAGAAGTAAATGAGAGCATTGGGGAGAAAAATGTTTTCGATAAAACTCATTCTTTACTATTTTCAAACGATAATGACTTTAATTTTAAGAGTAATTATATTAGTCCTTCACAATTAATCATGGTTATATTTCAATGGGTAGTTTTACTCAGTTTCTAGTTTAGTCTTATTAGCTTCAACTTGATATCCATTAAATTGGTTTTAATTCAAATGAATCTTCCTTGAATGAATGAATGGTAAATAGTAAAAATCCTCTTCTAATAAGTGCATCTTATTAAAGTTTTAAACAAGTAACGTTTAAACTTAAACTTATAGACTAATTAAAATTTAAATGGTCAACGCCATCTGTTTCGCTGTACGTTCACTCTCACTCTCTGTATCTTGTATACACTCGAAAAAATGAATAATTCAAATTTTTAAATTTGTACTTAAGGTTTTTGCGTAATTCTTTTTAAATAAACTACCATTACTCATTGAACCTATAACTATTTTCAAATATTTTTTGATTTTTCTCTGGTTGCACTTCATAAATTATTTTAAATTCTAAAAATGTTATTTGAAATATTTTGTCTTAAAAACGGTTCTACGCTTATGGAAACATATCTTTTGACTTAGTTAATATAAAAATAAACTATTAGTTGGCATGAGACCGGTTGGAGATTGCTTCAAACTGTATAGAGCCGTTTGAACGAGCTCGGCTCTGGCGCAACCTTCTCAAACTCCATCGAACTTGTTCGTTTGTGGTTCGAGTTGATGTTATTAAAAACAAAAATTATTTTTAAAAATACCGCCGAACGAGTCGGACGTGTTCGCTGGATGCTGGCGCTCTTTTCGCGTTCCGTTTTTTGAGTAAAGTAAACAAACATACAAGTTAACACAATTTTGTCTGTTCTATTGTGCGGAAATCGAGTGAGAGGGGAAATAAACAGAAACCGCAAGCAAAAGCAACAAGCGTGTGTGGGAAGAGGAAAACGAAAGGCGAAACTACCTGCGAGCATGTGTGTGCGTGTGTGTAAATGAAATATGGAAATTGAAAATGCCATTAATCGCGAATTAACGGCAAGCCATAGAAATCGCTCAATGGTTTAAAGTGCAAGAGAAAAGTTATTGTTGTCAACACGGAAGACAAAAGCCAAAAAGCCTGCTGTTGAAAAAAATACGTGTAAATTATATTTGTTTTCGCAACAACAATAAGCCATTAACCAGAGTGCTGAAATAGTCAATTTACAATTGGAGCTGCCGAGAAGTCTATATATAAAATATAAACATTTTGGTAAGTCTAGCTTTAAGTCTCTCTCTCTCTCTTTCTCTCCTTAGGCGGTTCAGATCGACTCTCCGCTCTCTACACAGTTATAGAAATTATTATTAATTTGAAAATGTGACAGATCAGGAATTTGATTAAATTTGAAACTGTTCTCTATATGTTCACTCTTTATACAAATTGGTTAAATTTACAGTTTTCTTCTACTATTTTAATGGTCTTATATGCTTAAAGTAAATATATTTCGAATTTTCATTTAACATATCTGTTTTTTCCTGTGTATTTTTCGCTCTTGGAGAGTGGAGAGCTCAACACAGTGGTCAACACAGTAAAACCCGCAAAACGACTTTCAACATCATTTCGTCTCCTTGTTGTTTTTGCTTGCTTTTTTGTTTGTTCTTGTTGCTGTGGCAGCTTTGTTGTAGTTTTGTTTTTTCTACTTCTGAGTTGCTGCCGTTTTTTATTTAATTGCGCTATTGTTATAATCATATTTGGTTTTTGTGCGCACTTACTTAATTTTCGCACATGTGGAAATGCTGTCGTCCAATTTATTAAAAATGCCATAATATTTGTGCGCTGTGAAACGTGGAACGTTTCGAGGGAAAACTGTCCCTCAATCGTTAGACTGGGAAAATTAAAAAAGTTATTGGCAAATTATACTTCTCACAAAAAGTACATTAAATGTTGTAGTATAAAGTCGCCTCATAAAGTCAAGATTTATTTCAAATAATTGTTTCTATGAATATTTATTATTTCTGACACTTTGTTGTCTAAGAAGAATTTTTTAAAACTCTCATCTCACTTAATTAAAAATTTTAAGAACCAAAAAGTATGACCGAGACTTATTAGTCTTAAGTTGCAGGCTTTTCGATGCATCAAGTACACATTTTCTGACTTCCAAGTCATTCCAGACTGCAATTTACATAAGGTTTTAAACTAATTTCAGCGGAAGTCTGGATTTTTAAGGGTTATTTTTATTATGTTAAGAAAATGAAGTCATTAAGTAAATGGAATAATAAAAATAAATATTTTCCGTTACCTAACATATTGCGAGCTTAAAAAAAATAATTTAGCACGTTCGCCCCTGCAGTTTGGTTGTAAAAACAGCGCTTTTTTATGGACCGTTTTCATTTCAATGGCATAACTCCCAAGAAACTCGGATTTCAATCAACTTGCCACCTGCAGATCTGCAGCAAGCTTCAGCGATGCGTTAACGAGAGACCTCAAAGCTAAGCGATCCATTCAAGACCCTTCAGAATAATCCCAATCCCAGCTCATTCAGCATCGAAAGCTGCCGACGAAGGCCACAGACGGCAATTTAATTAGAGGTTACTTAGCCAAAGACGCCGCAGAGCCGACAATTGTTGCAGCTAGCTAGTTGCAAGTTGCAACCACAGAACAAATGCGATGGCAAAGACGTTTTGAATGCATTATGCATGTGCGAACGGGCAGCATAAATCGCAAGGTAATGGTAATGGTAATGGGCCTGGGCTAATAAAGAAGCGTTTTGAATGCCAAATGAGTTGAGTCGACGAGGATGACGAAACATAAGTGATTTTGAAACGGAGGAGGGGCAGTGCAAAGAGTGCACAGTAAGAAAAATTACTATAATTGGTAATGAGCATGGCAAACTGGTCTATTGTTGGCTTTCTCGAAAGGTAGTCTAACAATATTGTAGAGATTGGTTTGAAATATAGAAAACGATTTTTCTAATGAATTTTTGTACAGCAAAAAAGACATAGGTATACAAATTTATATAATTTTATTTTCTGTGTAAGTTCCATGGAATGCGGTTGGCAAGAATCGGGGAAACCGGTCTCCTGCCGGTGCCCTATTGGATTGGCTTGGCTTGAGCCGATAGCGAAGGTCTCGAGGTCTTCAACAGAGACGGAAAGAAAGAGAGCCAGTGGAGATCTCTTGGTGAGTCACGTTCGGAGCCAGCTTCGATCGTCTCGAGACGTGCCTGCCTGTCTTTAGTAGACTGAGAATTGAGAATAGAGAACGGAGAACGGAGTAACTCTGCACCCATGTGCATAGTTATGCCGACAGTGCGATAATAAAAATCTTAGAAAACGAAGAGAATTCCGAATGCCGGAGGAAATCCTCTTGTCGTTCACTTTTGGCACGTACCTCTGGGATCTTGGGGTCTTATCACCTGTGTTTCTATTGCTTATAAATATTTAAAGATTATTTGATTCTAGTCATCCGAATGCTTTATTTAAGAAGGAAACAACGCACTGCAAAATTGCTGAACAAGAAAAAAAAAAAGAAAAGAAATATTTTTCGTGATAAAACCAAAAGTGGGAATTTACCCAATAGCCGTATCTTTTGGGCTTCATATTGCCCAGTGTAACATAAATAAACATTATGAATCAGACGGCTTATTAAAGCATGTAAATAAATTATTTATAGAAACCATTCCTTTAATGTACGTTCCAGTGATTGAGTTTCCTGGAAATTGATTATAGATTTAGTATGGTATTTATGTATAAAGTCTGTACTTGTAAAAAACAGATAAGTTGCAATCCATAAAATCACCTTCAGATCTGACCATCTCGTCTGAGTTCTCGCTCTACTTTCTCGCTCTTGTCCCCAATGCATCTCACACTTCTTGCCGACTGGTAATTACACACCTTGATGACTCAAAATCTGTCATTAAGGCAAAACTGCAGTTCAGTAGGTAACACACATATGGATCCCAACCCCTCAGCCGCCCATGAACCACCTCCTCTTCCGTCTTCCGCGTTTTCCATCAAGAAAATAAAAACGGAGAGAATCCGACAAACAACTTGCCCTGCCAACATAGAGACCTGACCTATGAGCTTTGTCTTTAGCATTCGCATTTAGTACTCTCTGGTTCTTTTTTGTCTTGTTTCTTTGCTGGTTTCTGCCCCACGTCTTCCATTGTCTTTCAACGTTTATCTTGCTTTTGGGGGCAACAGTTTTGCTTCGATTTTTTGCGGTTTTATTTTTGGACCCACCTTGGAAACTTGTTCGTTCAGTCGGTAAGCGGAAAATGATCAGAGTTTCCACAAAAAAGGCCAAATAAAGCACATAACTTAGGACCAATAAACTGTTACAGCCTCGATTCCCTGCCGTAGGCGTCGAATTAAATTACTCAATTGAAAAGTCTTTGACTCTTGGCATTATTCTTCAGTTTTTTCACCCACCACTCTTCCGATTTAATACCGGCTTAATTAAATTAAAATTTAATTGCTTTGTTGACAGGTAGACACATCATGTCAATGAACCAAGTCTCAACTTTTGTGGCATCTCTAGAAACGATATGGGTTCTGATCAGGTGGCTCTTTCGCTGGACCAACACTGATATATATCATTACGTTCTGCTATTGTAATATTAATTCAATTCTAGACACTTGCCGGGTGAACAATCGCCAAACACTTGGGCACTGATTGAACTTAATTGAATTAAGAGCAGTTTGCTAGTTACATCTTAACTTGGGTCAGGCGAGCAGGAAGTCAACCTTGTCCAACGGCATTACAGTATACACCAGATAAAAAGTTACTCTTTCAATTAAAGTGATATAAATGTTATATTTAAATATAAATAGATATACCTTTTCTGATCGGCTTTTGTCACTTTATGAGCTCATTTATGTTGGCAATTTATAGAGTAGCTCAAGGCAGCCTGTGAACTAGTTTTCGCTTGCTTTTCATACAACTTGAAAGCCATTTAGTTGCCTTCGAGTTTTTGTTGGCCATTTCCTCCGCATAGCCACAGATGTTGCCTCAAATGGGAGCATATGTGTGTTATTTATGCTTGTGTGCTACCACAACCTTATGCATTCTATATACCGCCTTTTGTTTTTGTTTACCTTTGGGGTCTGAAAATGTTTGCTTGCTAGTGCAATGCATTCGCCGTTTGTTTACCCAACTTACGTATCCGAAAGATACATAACGCTCTAGTGCCATATTTCATCATTTGGATGCCCTGGGCATCTTACAGCTGCATTTGCATGCAAAGAGGCTCCCAATCATTCAACTGCTTTGCATACCAAATACTACAAATGTCTAACCTTTTTGCTGCAATTTAGCGAATGATTTCTGGGGTTTTTCTGAGCATTACTTGTTTTTATAGCACTTGGCCTTTGGGTTTTGTTGTCGTACAGAAATTCTCGCTAAAGAAAACCTGTTTCTCCGTTTCTTTGTGGCTGGGTCCGGTTAGCAGCGCAATCATTTTTGACGTACTTTGTTTTATGAAATGCTAATGAATTTATACAGATTCGATTATAAGCAACTTCTAAAATCAATTAACACATAGCAAACGACGCAAGTTATAAAATTATTATTGCGCACTTTTGGGGCTAGGAGTTAGGCTAAAGTAAAGGCGCCCTTCAATCTGGAGCGTTGCCATAAGCAGCTGCCCCTTCAAATCCCAGTCTGAATTCCTGGTTAGCAAAGCTGTGTTAATAAATTATCCCCACAGACCTTGAACCCTGAGTGTTTGAAATAAATATTGCACATTGTCTTCAATTAGCACGCAGCTTGGCAATGGGAGATTCGCGTGTTGAGTGTCGAGGAAACCCCGAAAAAAGCGTTGACCCAAAAACAAGGAAGATGAAATTCCCCATCTTTATCCAACGAAGGCAATGAATGGAAAAATACCCATTTCTTATAAACTAAAATCTTTAAATAAGAGATGAATTTATTTAAATAAACAAACAGCTGCACATTTTCTTTCACTGCAGTGACAAAGAGCCGGGGAAAGTGTCTGGCTAATTTGTGAAAAGTAATAACATTAAACCAAAAGAAAAAGTGCCAAAATAAAAAACGTGTAATTGTATCGGGGAGCGTGGGAGAAATCTCTTCAGTTTCTCGAGTTCAGTAGCTTCCAAACGAAAGTCACCACCAAAATAGTTGATTATATAACCCATCTGGATCTACCAGGTAACGCCCACCAGATCATTCTCCGGCGACATCAGCTGGCTCTCACTGTTATTAACACTCTTTAGCGAACGAAACGAAACCCGTTTAGCACCGGGGGAAAACTT